AACAATTTGTTAGACCAGAAGGAATCTATGACTGTTACCATAGGAATTTGCTTTCGTGGAAGCAAATCGATTGCAAAACCCAAACGGACAACTTGTGTAGGGGCTAATCACAGCAAAGTATTTGCTCGATCTTTCTAGCTCCGGACTGAACAAGTAGCTGCACCAAAATGGGACAAGGACTCACAGTACTATTTTTTGAAAAAAAGAAAACCTAGAATGACAGATAAAACAAAAAAATCATTTTATTCTTTGAAACAATCAGGTGCAGCTCTTTAGATCAATAGCTCTTCAGCCATCAATCTGGAGACTAGAGACAAACCAAATATAAAGAGTAGACACTTAGTATTTTTAATTTTCTTTTTCCTAAAGAGCTATGTTGAATATATCTTTGCTCTGTATATCTTTTTTAAAAATATATTTTTATCAATGAATTTGTAATAACTTTAACCATGTCTCTTACTGGAGGATTTTTTCTAATTAAGGTTTACAGTCTAAATGAATAATAAAAATATATGCTAAAATTCCATGGCCTCCTCCTTTTACTAAATGATCACCTGGATGATCCTGACCAGCCCAGCTTTTCATTTTTCCAGCGAAAAAATCAATTTAATTCTATCCGGAGGATGTCATTGTCATCCTTGTAAGACCCAGTAGTCGGTGATCATTTGACCTTGTTTTTAAACAATCTTTACAATCTCTTGAGCATTATTTGGGACGATCATTTAAAGAAGAAGGGGAAAGTGATGAGGTTGGGTGTTCACGTTACAACAAGGACTCAACAAAAAACCGTAGATTTTGCAATCTTAGTTCCTGATTATATTAATATTATTATTAGGCCCAAAATCTCTGTGTATGTTATGTAGCGGAAGGCGAGAAGTGTGCTTATCTGCAACATCTCGACCCTAGGAATTCTTTGGCACAGGCAAAACCTGGGTGTGTGGGCACTACAATTCCTGTTGACATTTTGATGACATGCTGAAAATGAAGCAAGATCGAGCTTTGTTTCCTTCTGTCATTATTGTACATTTTAAACAACAAGCAGTCACACGCCTTTTTAAGATCAGACGACAATATTCCTTCCTCAAATGCTGTTCTCGCTACACCGAAAAATTTGGTTTGGTATTTGTAAAAAAATTGAAAATTTTGTAACAACGACGAGTTTTCTGTTTTTGTAATAGCGTTCGCTTGAGACGTGCGAATTATTTGGGTAACCACAAATCTCAAGCAATCGAAAAAGATACCGAGATTTCGTGACAGTACGTTTTCTTTTATGTCGTTTCTGGTCAAGGACTGATCGCAAAGCAAAATGCCCCCGCGAAATGTTTTAATCGCCCTTCTTTGCTGTTTGCTTGCCATGCACTGAAAACCTGATTGTGGCTAGTCAACAGTTACTTTTGGTTTTGTTGGGAAGGATTCGGCTTCTACCAATCATGGAGACTTTAATTCAGTTGCTCAAACAAACGTCGACGCCGCCGTCGACCTGTAGAATCCTGCTTTAAGATCGTAACTTCCTGAAGCCTTTTTCCGTAGACATTTGAGAATGGGGAGAGAGTCATTCGACAACTTACTAACGCGACGAAATATGATGACCAGTTGAAGGGTATCTGTCAAGGGACAATAGATTTTCTCGCCCGACAAAAAATTAGGCCTCCAAAAGTAGTTGACGGCATCTTTGAAGTTTGGTGGCTCTTGCGAAAATTTTGGTGAGTCAAAAAAATCGTTCGCACTGAAAATGGTTTCCCGTTGACTTATTTTTTTGCAAAAACAAACAAAATTTCGCGTACTGCGAACAGGCTCTTAGGCAACAGGCCAAAGCAAGGAACAGTAATCATGAGAATACTGTTGCATCCAGCGAGACATGTTGAAGTTCGTCATGTTTTTTGAGCTAGTCAGACAGACAACAACGCGTGCCACACCTCCTGTTTATGACTTTTTTTTTTTTTCTTTTCATGTGAAATTTTAATTACGGCCCTCATTCATTCATGTTGATCGGCTACACAATGATGTTGTTGACAAGCGCTTATTCAAACGCATTTCCTGTCAGTTGCGTGATTCCAATCCTGGAGTTGAATGTATTCTTAGAGTTTTTCAAAAGCTCGCTTATTTAGCTTCAAGAGCGATTTAGAAAGAACAACATGTACCCATAAATAATAATCACTGTTTTCAAGGAGTCTTATTGCGTTGTGTATGAGCTGCGGTTTTCCGCGAAACCCCCGGGCCCGCGGTTACAGCAAGTTAGTTGTGTTCTCCATTGCAGCATAGTTAGTGCAGCCATATTTTTGATTGATTTGATTTGATTTTTTGTTTTGCTGGTAAAACTGAGACTGAAAACTCGACACAAGATAAGAACAGTTTTTTTTCGCCCGCCCGTATGGGTAATTTTTTTCCTTTTTTTTTTTTTTTCTGTTTTTTGTTTTTGTTTTGTTTTTTTTAATTTTTCTCTCCAAAAAAATTTTCAGGCCTTTGTCTGTGAAGATCATTGAAGTGTAGATAGTTAAATTCCTTTTAGAAACTTATTCTTGAGAAAGAATAGGAAAATCATGAAAGATCGTCCATATGATGGAAATTCAGAATAGACTTCAGCGAGCTCGGGAATCATTAATTTCAATTTCTCTTTCGGATCTTTCAGTCTGTGCGCATCTCAGGCTATTTAGGACTACTTTTTCAGTACAATAAAATTTTCAACTAAAAAAAAGACCTTTCTAATAAAGATGTTTCTTTCATGGAATTGGAAATTCTTAATTCATCTCCTTTGATGGTTTTAAGAAGGTAAGACTTTTAACGGCGGAAAGTTTTTTTTTAAGACAAAAATCAAGCTGATGAATGCATGCATAGGTATAGGCCATGGGAGCACGCGCACGAGTTTCACACCCTCACTCACATGTGACTGTCTGCGGTTAAAAAGCCGGCCGGCGCCCGCACTTTGTCACGGATTAGTTTTTATCAATTTCCAAGCAATCAAAATGCATGGTGACATACTTATTTTCCAGTGTTCTGAGAATTCCTGACTTGATTTAGTGCGTTTGTTCTTTAATCGAGGTGAGAGCTGGGAAACTTTTTATTACAGTTTTTCGCTGGTGTTCCTATGTACGTGCCGAGAGTACGTGACTTGTGCCACATCTAGGGTACTCTACATAATTATGCGATTTTAACAAATACAAAAGAAACTCAGACAAAATTGACTCCACTGAGAAAAACACCTTTTGTCTTGACAGAAGCAGTGAAAATCTGCCAGAATTCTATCGAAGGCCCCAAGATTGGAAACAGCATCGTGCTAGTTTTAGCAGATAACTGTGCATAAACAGGAACATCAACTACCAAGACAAATCATATGAACATCATCTTAAGCACGTGTAAATTTTACACAATCGACCAATTTAGATCCTTGATTTCATAAAGTGGGCACCTTAGCATGTCATCGGATCACTTAAACATAGATTCAAAACCATAGCCTTTATTGATTGCTTTCCTTCCTCAACTTTCATTTCACCTACTTACTTTTCATCGAAAATTTAGTGTTCAGTCTCGCGCTTTTTGCCACTTGAGCCTGTTTATGTTTTAGTGTCTATTCCGTTTACTGTTTGGTGCTCATATTTGTTACCTCTTTCTTGCTCAAAACTACATAGAAATGAACAAAATTAGCTCGAAAAATAAAACCTAAATGTCATTCGCATCAGTGACATGTGATGTACGACACTGACCATAAGACCCTTTTCCAGTCAAAATAGCTATCAATGAAAAATACATCTCAATCAAGTTCTCGATTTTAAGGCTGAAAAAATACATTATATGAATAGATCTTTTCGTACCAAGTGAGATGCCGACAAAACCATGTCTAAAGCTTTTTATCTTCCTCTGTCTAAAAAATTGATAACAGACACAAAGAACAACAACTGAAAAGTTGCTAGGAGGCACTTCACAAGGGATAGAATTTGTGTTCTAATATCAATCCCGTGAACGTCACATGACATCTTATAATTAACACTCTTTGGGGCCTGTTTTAGCATTACTGTTGAAAAACAGTGCGAAGTCTATTAAATATTGTAAAAGAGACAACAAGTAAAACCGAAAATTTACTCATAAAACCAGGGAATTTTCTCTATCCTTCTGTTAAGATACATGTTTTTTCAGCCGGCGCGGTACTCTGGTTTCAAGAGCCGTAGGAGCTATTTTAAACACCGGCTTTATTCAAACATCTGTTGTGTTTTGTTTTGCTTCTTTGGCGGAAGGGACACACCTCCAACATAAGCCAATCAAATCCAAGCTGCTTAAAGTTGTTTACGACTTTCGCCGCATTGAAATTTATTCCAGAGCAAAAAATTTCGCTTTAAAAGGATGAAATTTCTAAACCTTTCTTCAAATCCATTCACCTTGTGTCCCCAGATTCATCAAATTGCCGAAAAAAAGGCCGAAAGTTATTGGGACATGACTAGAATAAATTATCAGTGTGTCTGGGTCATTAAAATTTATTCAAATGTCATATCAAACCAAGATTGATTGACGGAAAACCAGACGACAATATTGCGAGGTATTTAAAGCAGCCAATCAGCTATCGTATTACATGTTAAAGGGCAGAGGCCTCACAGGACAAAAGTTAGGATTCGAGATAAACAACTCCGGCGACAATTTGTTTTTTTTATTGTTTAATAAGATGAAGCAAATGGAAACCTAGCGAAAATTATTCTCCTACAGTGCTCTTTATATTGAGAATTTCGATGTTCTTGCACCAACAAGTAATTTCACATCGCATTTTCAACTTTCACCTCCAACACGATTCTTTCGGCACGTGCTGGCGAAGCAGTAGGATTTGTTGGCGAAGCGCCAAGAGAGCGATCACGCGAATGAGCGGAACGAACCCGTCGCCGCCTCTTTCCCGCATTTCTGAGGAGTAGGTTTATCCTAATAATTTCACAATAAAATTCGACTAAAATTAAAGGAATAATTGAAGAAAATCAATTAATTTCGCCATGACTGATTCACACATTCATAGAACGACTACATGAGCTATTATCAAAACCACATGACAAATTTATTGGAAACATTTTCTTTCTACCCTCCAGACATTTCGTTTCTACATATAGTATTATAACGTTTAGTTTGGTGCCAATACATTATCATGTTAGACACAAGATTACAAATGTTTTCTGTAGAGTGTATTATGTTCAAAAGCTGAACGAGTCGCTGAAAATTTTTGCACCATGCAATAATCTTCGTTGGTTTTTCTTAATCATTCCCAAACGACTGAATCGCCTCTCTTCCCTCGCAGAAGATGTGTAACACCTATGAACTGCGATTATAAAAATATAACGATTTGATAAAATATTTAATCTTTATACATGTTGTCCATTTATTTTATTACACGCTAACCGTGTGCTACGAACGAGCTATAAATATATATATCTGCATGGTGAGTTTGCTCAGTTCTTTAGTCTGCAAATCGTACGCAAGCTTTTTTCCATCTGCATTGTGTACACCAAAGATGTCTGTTTTCCATTCCGTACACCTTTCGGCATTTCTTGCTCTCTCCACGAACCTTGCGGTGCGTGTGATGATTTGAACTGTGCTGTACCCTGGATGGACTGGTCTTGCCGCTGCTCGCTTTCGACGGAGATGGGTAGGTCGAGAGACTTGTGATTGCTGAAGCATCCCAGTTGAAGCGCGGATGCTGTGGAGAGTCGTGTCCACTTGAGGATAATTCAGGGCCTGGTTCGGTCCACGGGTTCTTCACCATGTCAAAATGAGACTGTGTTGGTGTTGGTGACAGTGCAAGCGGTGTTGGGAAAACATGATCGTTCATGTAGTCGTCTTCTTCTAAGTCTATTTCGTTGAAGTAGAAGTCTTCTTCCCCATCACTGTAGCCTTCCTCAGTCGAACGTTTAGGCCTGAAACGCACAAAAGGAAAAAAAACGTAAGACAAACTGGAAAAACTCTACGATATTTAAGCATTCCTCGAATAAATTTTGCCAAGATAGAGCGTCAGTAACATCGCTTATGAATTAATTCCGAGGTATTCAGCTATTTGCTGACTGGACAGAACCGATTTCACAACTCAAAATCGACAAACTCAGCCACTGTGAACTGAGTTTGTTTTATTTGTGCAATAAGTTGACTACAATCTCCAAAAGCAGGCGAAAGATGCCCATAACTAACACCGTTTCAGTTCAATCCTAATATACATAACGTATTGTGGGGGCAAAAAATGAAAGGCGTTACGAGTAAAAATAAAACACACATCTATAAAAGCGAGTAAAATATCATAAGCGTACCCGAGATGGATTGTTCGAACATGTCTGATAATTCCGGGGGCGGTAGAGAGGGTTTTCCCGCATCGCGGCCACGTACATTTGTACAATGTCTTCACGCTTGAACTCGAAGAGGCAGAAGTCTAAAACGAATTAAGAATAAATAAATAACTACACACTATTCTTTTCCATATATCCTGGAAATTACAACCGAATAGGCGAGATCGGCAGCGAAAAAACTGAAGTAAAAAGAGGAACTGAGAAATACCCGGAACAAATAGAAAGCAAACAGCAACACGAGACAGATTCACCGTTGCGTGATTTAACGCACACCTTAGATTTTGCAACACCATACATAAACTAACAGTAATTCCTAAAATACGTGTCTCAACCTTGACTGAGAGCATCCTACTGTCAGTTAACTGGTTCAAGAGAGTAAAAACTTTTATCTAGAAATATAATCTAGATGCTGATGCAACCTTTTTTCGCCAGATCGGTGAAAACGCCAAATTAGGAGGGACTTCCGAAGTACATATCCACGAAACTTTTTCTAGATGGGCTGAAAATTTCCCTACCTTTCTTTTGCGGGTGTTTTCTTGTTTCTGATAATCAACTCCAATGCCTTCGTCAATTGGAGAGGGTGGACCACTTAAGAAAAAGTTCGAGTCATTCGAGTGCACTGGCGAGGATGAGCGGAGCGGCGAATTTCCCGGGCTCGAAAATGTAGCCATCTCGGATCCTGAGTCCGGAGTGGGAGGAAAGCTAAGAAACACATCGTCCGCTGAAAATCGAAAAGACAAAAACACTTATTGTGAATGGAATCACACAAAAAATTAGTGTGATCATAGCCCTAAAGACTGAATCTGGGAAAAAACGCCTTATGTGCTGAATAGCAAATATGTTCCGCTCGCAAGTTGTCGTGGGCTTACGATCGATAGTACAATGAATCTGATAATTACTGGAAACAGAAACTGCACACTTACTTTGATCCGCATCTTTGAGAACCGGAGAGATTGACAGCGCAGTAAGAACAAGTGCAGCCATTTCTTCACCTCTTGTAACGTTTTCTTGTCGTTTGGTCCATCCACTAAAAAAAGAAAACGACTTTAATCAAAGAGCTAAGCCTTAAGAATATAAGACAAAGGAATATCACAGAACGTCGTTCTGAAAACCTAAGAAGTAGAGATAAAAATTCTCCCCATTGAACTGAACGTTTTGAAGAAGTAAACGAGATACTCGAACACGAAGAAGCACCATGTGAGAGTTAATGTTCGGGTTTCCATATGGAGTTATAACTTACTCGCAAGAGTGTATTCCATGTGCTCTCATCTTGCATGGTATCGGGCACGATACGAATGAACTAGTACCGTTGCAACCCTTGACTTCGATAGGCACCGTGGAATACCGTTGCCCTTTCATCAGATGAATCTCACTCGGTCTTACAGCAACAATTGTTTCGTGTTGGTCCAAAATTTGAACCAAAACTTCGTTGAACTCTGAACGAATCTTAAGTACACGGGCGCCAACTTCGCGACTCTTGTACGTGATGTAAACATGTTGACCGTTCTTTAACGAGGAAGTTCCCACACTTTTGAATCCTGGTCCCACAATTTCTCCCTCATCCACTTCAGCAATGTAGTCGTCTTCAAACAGAATGGTGTAAGTGTTTTCGCCGGTAGGTTTGCTTTTGACCGCCTCAATTATCCCGGAATAGTAGAATCCATCTTTCCAAGGTGCGCTGACACGAACTCCCAGAAGCGAATTTTTCGGTCGCCTTCTCGACAACAGCATATCTTTCTCCTTTTCTTCCGTGAAACAACACGTCCAATTTTGACGAGAAGTTAAATAATTTTGCCTGAAAAATCGAAACCGGTAAACACTTGTCCGAAATAGACACTCGCCAAAACGAAAATGCTTTGTTGTTGTTTTCACGACGGATTTTGGGGGCGGATAATGGGAGTCTACCAAGCCCCAATCGATTGGAATATCTGATTTGTCAATTTTCCCATCCAAATACTATGCAGTCTTTCATTGGCTATATAGAATAATTAGTAGGTGTGATTGGCTCATCCAAGTTACTATTTTTAAAACAATTCAAGAAGCTTTGTTTACATTTTGAGCTTGCGAAGTATCTTTGTCACGTACTCAACTTTTTTTTACAAGCAATCGCTCCCTCTTTACTCTGCCTTGAAAATAAGTTCCATGTAATCACGAAGCGTCGCCGAAACGAACAGGTTTCGAAAATCTGCCAGTCGTGAATTTGTTTTCTAGCGAGGAAAAAAATGCTTTGAAAGCCGACCCGAGCATGTGACATAAGCTACATTTTGCGAGACGTTCAAAGTAAACCCTGCTGTGTGATTGGTCGAAATCAGTGGGGAGGTGTCAAAATTTGCTGAAACAAATCGTACTATTGGTTGACAGAACAGATCTGTCGCACATTTAGCCGGCATCTCGGCGCCATAGCAATTATTTCTAAAAGATAATGTCAAACTAGTCCTGCAAACATTTCAAGTTAACCCGACTGTTGTTTGAAAATCAAAACTTGCAGTTATTTTTACATGAAAACAATAGTATTTGCCCTCGTCGGTTACACATTATTTTTCCGGTTTACCTCAAAAGTTTTTTTGTGAGATCTTTCAGGCTGAGAACTGGCGTGTTGATCTTCCATTGTGGAAAAAAACTAATCTTATTTTAAATATAAAAGTTTTTTTTGACATCTCAAAAAAATATATATATTGGCCTCGCAAGTCAAAATCCAAGGCATATATCACAATTTCTGAGTGCTAAACAAAAATATCTTAAGCTGTTCAGAACACTAGAAGTTCATGGCCTTGAAAACCAAAACAATTCTCGTATGTTGAAAATTTCTCATATATTTGCAATGAAACACCAGATGTTTGAGTGAGAGATTGAGCTTGTCTAAAGCGAGAGGTATCAACTTCCTAGCGAGCTTCGACCCATCTGAGCCGGATAATGTGGCACGGGACCAAACGAAAGTTAACCGTACCCCGAGGGTGTGAAATTTGACACGATATTCCCGTAAGAAGGCGAATAGTGAAGATTAAAACGTAGCTGAGAACCAAGTTTCGGGAAGTTGTCAACACACAAAAAAGGACAGTGTAAAAGGAGAAAATGAACACGAAGCAGATGTTGATGAGGAAACATACCAGTACTCAAAACAATAACTACTTGTTATGTTCGCATCTTTTACGAGGCTAATATATATTTTGAACAGCGCAACTGATGCAAGTATGCTTATCAAGAGCCATCTGTTATAAATCAACCGATATGTCGTGGTGATTTCCAACGGATCGTCTCACACAGTCACGTAGCGGGTGTAACTAAATTCCATTCAAAGCAGTTGTTTACTGCGCGCGTAATGGACAATTTATGTAAATTACACCGGGCGACACCAAATCACAATGGCTGCAAGCAAGCAATTATTTAATAATGATGACATGCTAATTGGAAGAAAAGTTTAGAACAAATGGTTTACGACAGAAAAGTGCATTTGTTGGAGATGATATTGACGCTCTCTAGCTAAGGATAAGATGGGAATCACGAGATTAGAGTTAAGCTCATTTTTGCTTGTCACCTTTCTGTGGGGTTTGTCACGCGACTCGAAACTTTACTTCACAAGGATAACTGCAGATGTGGAAAACGTATACATAACGAATTTACTGTCATTTGAATTTCGTTTAATTTGGCCACATATAAACCGCTTCTAAAGGCTCTTATGAGATACAAAGATAAAAAAAAAGAAAAGAAAAAAAAAAAAAACTAAACAACCAATGGAAAAGAAAAAATCATCGGCTCTTGTACTGGCTCGCATCCAAAGTTCCTTTTAGCAAAATAATCGAGATCAACAACCTGTCACGCATAATGAGTTCGTAGGAACATTTCTGTTGACGAAAAGAATCAGTGCCAAGTATTCCGTGAATTGAGAAACCAAACACGGCGGGAGAAGGAGAAACTTATTTATTGTTGATAATCACTTAAACAGTAACAGCTAATCCAATAAAACAGTCCGTTGTATTGAGCTAAATAGGTCTCATTTCCCTTCCACTTTTGTAGCGTATGTGCTCTGTATTTAGGGAAACAGGGCAACGTTTATGTATAAGATTGTGATAATTAACGTTGTTTATATTTCATCTCTCTCCAAAACAAAAGTTCAAACAATTTATAAGACCTGTTTTTTAGGTTCACGACGATTTACTTGAACTGGTATAATAAATACTAGGGTGGGGAGGTGGGTGGAGAGGCGGGTGGGGAGGAGGGTGGGGAGGAGGTGTGAACGGGGCGCTTATCGAAAGAGGATTGGATTGGATTGGAATGGTTTGGAATGGATTGAAGGATGGGTGGAATTTGGAAAACACACTTAGAAGGTCGGTCAAGGTCATGTAAAAGCAGACTGAGAACTTGATATGGGGACAGTTTCTATGGTATACACGGTCTATTCGAAGCATTCTTAATTGAAAAAAGGACTTTGTTAGATATTTCAACGATACTTGTTAAGCTACTTTATCGATATTTTCATTTAGGCTTCTGTTGCACGAGGTCTCGCCACAATGGGACTCAAAACCAAGGGAGAATCTTGAGATTAGACTGATTCATTGTGTTGAGCTTAAAAGGGAGAATAGCATGACCAGGAAATGTTTTAAATTTGAAACTATTTCAGCTGTGCTTTTATCTACAGCCACTGTAATAATATTACAAAATTAACGCAAGCTTTCATCTCTATCAGACCCTATCACCCTGAGTTTGACTTATGGTCGTGGGTCGTGGGTCGTAGGTACAAGTCGTGGGTCGTGGGTGTGGGTGTGGGTAAAAGTCGTGGGTGTGATTAATACTCAACAATAACAATAATCATTTAAAATATTAGTTATAATAATACATAAATATTATACAACCCTTGTCATTGTATCAGCTCGGTTTAGTGAGCCTAATATTTCATTGATTTCATCTAACAGAATTAATTCATTTCATCCATAAAGAAAAGTGAAACCAAAGACAAAGCCATTATTTGCAGAATGATGTAATCTCTTAAAATGAGGGTCAATTCAAAGAGTTTGAGGAGTTTTGTTCAGGTAAAACGCTTGATCAACACACAAAAAAATAATCTTGCACTGAAAAGAGAGAAGTGTTAAACTTAAAAGAACAACCTTTTCAGAACATGAAAGAAGCTTCGAGGATCAGAAACACGGCTATTGGCCGTGTTCTTGAATTAAAATTAAATTGTGCTCTCAGTGCCGGTTAACAATAAATGAAGTTTCAAAAGTAAAAGTATATCTCTCAGCTGGTCAGGGAAAATAAAGCTTGTATTGATCAATGACATTCAGACAAAGAGCCGAATGCTTTATCTCCGTATCGCGTACCATCTACCCCGCATCTAAGAAAAAAAATGAAGTGAAACAGCGAACTGTTGCAAGATAAGCCGATATTTTGATAGCAACGTTGCAACGTTAGTTGCAGGTCTGGAGATGTTGGCTCCAAGGTTTTTCCAAGACACGAAAATATAAAACCTCTGGTATCCAGTGTGCGGTACAATCGACAACCGGAAATCGCAAGCCAATGTTAAATTGGTCACGACAACTGGCATCGGTGACAAGAAATGAAACGAAGAACCAATTAGTACAATCTTAAAATTTTTCTTCGTCCATTTAACTGGCAAGGTCCTTTTCTAAATCATAAAATAAACTAGATATGAAGAATTATTGAAATAAGTAAATTAATAAATAAAGAGGTTCTAATAATTTCAATTTTCAAACGATTCATTTCTTATCTGACAAAGACCAGACTCTGCAGAGTTGCGAAATGTGACGTACTCAAGAAACATACGTTTCATTGTTCGTCGAGAAGTATTCCATTACTTCACGGTAACTAATGACAGTCATGTTTCCCGTCTTGTTTTGAGACGCTTACAAGATAAATTTGTGGAAAAGAAGAATAACAACGGTTCAAGTCACGTTTCGCGAAAAAAGCCAGTCATTTCGCAATTTCCATGAAGAAAAGGCGATTCAAACTTCACGGCGATATAACCAAATCACGTTTAAAACCAGCCAAAGGGCCTTTCACGATCACGAAAAAGCCCTTTTCCCCTACAAACAGTAATTGATTATTAGTAGTGGTACTATTAACATTATTAAATATGAGCTCTTAACCATTAATTGTTAGGTATTACCCACACCCACGACTTTTACCCACACCCACACCCACGACCCACGACTTGTTCCCACGACCCACGATCCACGACCCACGACCATTAGTCAAACTCAAGATCGATCAAGGAAAGGCGAAAGTTTCCATAAGGATATAAAGGCACGTAAATAAATTAGCTTTTCATAAAAAAGTCTGAATTACTAGTCATAAGAGTAGCATTGTTGAATGAGACCAGACAAACACTCAGAGGAAAAAAAAGCAAAAGAATAAACGGGAAAAATAGTTGGTATTGGCCTCAACTGATAAGGGACGAACATAGGTAGTTTGTACTCAGGTTCGAAATAGATTTCACTTGAGTGATTAACGTCTGAACTCCTTGATTCGGCATGTATTCTATTTATAAATCTAATTAAAATATAACAAATACAATAGGTCACTTTAATAGAAACAATTATAGTCGAAGCTTGAACAAAGCCTCAAGCCTGTGTCTCCAGATAACATCTGGTTGTTATGAGAAGCCACAAGGCCATATGCCGACGGCGAAGTAAGTTTTTATTCTTGTGAATGGAATTTGGCTACAGACAGTAGGTGAGAAGGTCTCTGTGGTACATGTGGTGCTCGTGTTCAAGCGCGGACGAATTCTTTAATATAAGTTCAGGCTTATACCTTCTGAAATTTCTTGAACTGCCGTCACGTGTGATTATTATACGTTTTCAAATTACTAATTTAATAAGCAGACTGTTGGCTCAAGGTAAACCTGTTTAGACCGCAAAAGCCGACATTTGCCGTCGTTCGAGGGTCCTTAGAACTCAGGATTTTGTCAGTCATGTATATGCTTGAAATCACTGGCAGCAAGCCATCACTGTTTTACAAACACTTATCAGAAGGGTTGTGCAGATGAAAATTAGGGAATAGTGGAGTTAGTCGCACACCTCAGAGGAATGATCAACACACTCATTTTAAACATTGAAAAGGAGACAGTTATTAAATAGTTTATATAACTAAAATTAAAATCTACCCGTTTGATTGTATTAACTGGATTGGATTAAAATTCTGGATCAACTGCTTGTTTGCTTTGAAACTAGGAAAAATATCCAAAAATTCGTATTAATTAACCGTCATGTTTTGGGCTTGGGATGCGCTTTTGTCATAATTTGTATTTTGAAATGAAGTATGGGAAGTCTGAGAAGTGGTTAGGAAGTAGAGGTAATTTTGTTCTGAAATGGAATAGTGTTCAGCATTAAGAGTGTAGCACAACCACCCAGTCTGTAGACTGTAACCTCGCAAATATAGTGATTTGTGTGTGCGGATTAAAAAAACTGTGTTGTCTTACGACTAATGAGATATTTGTACTTCTATGAGACTGAGCGGGATATAAGAAAGTAAATTACATTTCCTATTATGCAATTTGGTAACCTTTATTTTTCATTGCAGAAATAGCAACAGGATAAAAAGGATTACACCGGAACTCCCCATCAAATCTTAGGAAGGAAGTTCGGGTCCGCCCCAAGAGTTGTTTGCCATTACAACTTGAAATTGTAGTTGGACATCATGTTTTTAATGTGTTATATAGCCTGCGAACAGGCTCCCCGTTCAATCAGACGTGGGGACCTGCTTCGCGCCGTTGTGCTCCTCAAGCCGGGAGCCTGTTCGCAGGCTAAATGTGTTATGGCGTAACAGCAGCGGGAGATTTTTTCCACTCCAGTTGAGTCAAATCCAAAATAGTCGGTTAAATGTACATCTTCACGTATTTGTCATGCAAAAAGATAACAAGAATCAATTATAAGCCCTGGATGACCTGGAAGCCAATCGCAATTTACAGCTCATAATTAAGAAGTTAGCAATTTCTTTAAAATAACCGTCTCAGAGGTCACCCAGTTCAAAAGTCGGAAAAGGGTGTATTTGGGGGCGTTCCAAGTTAGAAGATATCATGTATAGCTTCAGATCAGTGAAATTATGACGATAGAGAGGCGCCCCTTAAGATATCTCCCACGACATGGAGATGGAAACTCCTTAACACGTCGTGTTATTTCTGTGCTTGACTCCCGCGGTCAAACACAGATAACTTGGGGAAGCTTTGACATGCAAACAATGAATGGAGAGTTTCTTAATGAACTATGAAGAACGAGATTTAACCATACACACGCCTTGCGGCATAATCGATCTACACTCAGAAAGAAATAATTTTTAACACAAGAATTGTTTCGCCAACCTTAGAGCCGAAGTAAAGGGAGGAAGAATAGGTAGGATACTTAATCCAACAAATAATAAAAGTATTTCATTTTTTGAAAATCATTTTTATTGACCAAGTTGTGTAAATTCTCGATTTAGTAATACATTCTTCAGTTTAAATAGAGCCTTCTGTGCTGGACAAACCAACCAAATAAATCAACACCTTAACAAATCATATCCGTACAAGTTGCGCGAAATAGTTTTCGTCAACGTGACCATAGTATCTCAGTAGTAATGACACCCTTTAAAAAAAAAACAAACAAACCCTGGAATCGTCGCCAGGGGCGCTTTTAAACGTTTGTGCTCGAAAGCTTCAACATTTTACCTTATACATCCTTATCAAATTATAAAGGTGGGGGAGGGGAAGGGAACTTGAATGCTTAACTTTGTTTTAAATATCTTTTCCCGCTATGTACCTCCATCAAGTTTGCAGCTTTATAAAGAAAAGGGCTTTCACCACCCTGCCGATGTTCAAGGCACCTTTGGAAGTGTGACGACCCGACTTTAAAGTCTCCGCCAACGTTACCTTTCTTTAACTACAAATTGTCAACTCTATCTTGGCTGAAGTTCGATTTTGAATGAAATGACTGTAATTGAACTTAGAAATTACAGCGTCTACGTGATTAAATATTCATCTCTATAACATTTCCCACGTTGGAGACTCTTCACTTACGTAGCAATTGCAAAGATCAATCATCTCTGGTTTTTTTTTATGAAATATGCTTATAATCATATATTATACCTTTTTTTTGATGATTTTTTCAAAATTTTTATAGTAATTTAAAATTTATATCCCATGTGCCAAAGAACAACCGTAGACATTTTAGCAAAATGTTAATCACAATCAAGTTTGCCATTTGAGCAAATACTAACATATTTTCAGTGCGTGACCAAGATCGTGACACGTTGACGCAAGCAGCGTTGCCTCTACTCTCAACGAAAACGGCAAATTGGACAATCAGATTGCGACAATTGAGGTAAAAAAGCAGTTTGGTTGTTTTCACTTTGAGTCCTCATTGACTAGTAATGATGATAATCTTAGTTCTTATTGATCACTGTGATAACTTGGGTTTTGTTTTAAAGACACTCAATGACAGTACAATTCAGTTGTTTTTCTACAACAAAGAGCTTCACTTGATAAGCAACATCCAGCAATCTATTAACTATAAAACCGGGCTTTAAAGTATGGCGAAAAATTAGCTAAGAAAAGAGTAAAAGATAGTACAAAATATGCAGGTAAAGAAGAAATGGGGCTGAGGAAATGTAATTTCTGAGGATCATAAAAAAACAACTATTTGAAGCTATTTACAATAATTTTGTAATATCTATAAACACAATTCTTTCATAAAAGAAAAAAAAATCACCTATCCTTGATTCACACAATAAGTTAACGAGACCACCGAAAAACCCAAAGGATCTTGTTAAATTTCGTATAAATTTCTATCACTTTTTAACCTTAACAAATTTCAAAATTCACCTATTTTTTTAAAAAAAATCAAATATGTTACCTAAGAAAATAAAGAAATAACCATGATACACAACAGATAGTGGATTTCAGCGTTTGTTGTTTTACAATCATATCTTCTAGTTAACCTGAAAGAGAATTGAAAGGTATTTTGTCATTAAACTCGCCCGTTTACTTCAATGATTCTTGCAAAGTTTTAAATCAAGAATATTTTCGCTCAGAACTCGTTTGTCTAAACATTTGTCCGCTTATCCGTAAGAAACATTTGCAGAGGGAAATATAATGTATGACTTCACATGCTAAGCTAATTACGTCGTACACTGCATGATTATTGGCGTAATAACCCACGCGGGATTTTGGGAGAACACAGCAAAAGTTTGTAAATAACGATCTGGAGGCAATTCATTGAAAAACACCTCAAGCGTTCTTCCCACATCCGAAGTGGGCTACTACGCCGCTACACCGATAGAAATTGTGGTTTATTGCTTTTTCTGAAATAAGCTTTTCTATGGGTTTAACGGTGCAGTCAACGATTTTTTTACCAGTCAGGGCGCTCTTAGTATCTCAGCAAACTACAATTATCTGAAGTCACACTTTCACTCTTCAGACCTTAGGAAATTGAAAAAAAAAATCTTCCAAAACCCAAAAAATCGCTACTTTGTATTCAAACGCTACGCAGCAATTCCTTACCGCCTAAATGTTGAACTCAGTTATTGGTTGGAGCCGGTCTCTTGACTTCCTTCGCCATCAGCGTCGCTAAGTTCATCCATAGAGATCCTCGGTAGTGGCGCTCTCCAATACGTAAAGGAACTAAATTGGTCTGGTGCTATAAGCCCCGCTGGACGAAGACCTTCCATTTTGAATGGRGGGAACATTTGATCCACCAAGTCACTAAGTTTGATGTACCTAAAGAAAACCGTATTATTCATTAACCCATTCATTCCCACGAGACACCGTAAAACTATGTTAATAGTTCATGTCAACATATTCTTAAGCATCCTCCAACGCAGGTGTATTCCAGACCCCCGCGCATTAGCCAAACTGGCAATGGAAATCGAAAACCACTAGCCAAAACTGAACTTCTACTAGTCTGTGACGTTAGCTACAAGTCTGTGGAGTTTGCTGACCGTTAGCGTCGAGCTCTGTTATACCTTTCCTTGCGTTTTGCGCCGGCGCCTATCTCTTGTTTAGAAATGTGACTTTTCCCTGAGTCATGCGCAACCGATGATTATCCAAGGAGGGGGAAGGAGGGGGAGGGAGGGGGGAGGGAGGAGAGGAGGGGAAGGAGGGGGGCATGGAAAGGGGAAAAAAACTGATATAGTGAGCAGCAGATCAAGCAGCAGATCAAGTTCATTGACAATCTAGAGAAGGGTGCTATTT